AGACCCACTGCCTCCCCAAAAGCATGTCGTAAGAGTCGACTAATTGGGAAGTTTCCTTTGAAGTCTGAGTGCATCTGCCGGAGAGGCAAGGAACCAACAGTCTGTATTCAAGAGAATGAGATCTGTAAAGCTGATGCACACGCAACACTCAGGTTCTGGAGCAGGACTGCAGTTCAGTAATGGACGAGCAACCAGAACTTTCGGCCTGAGTTTACAGTTGGTGAACGCAAAGAAGAAGAAGAAGATATTCCTTCAGCAGTCTCACTAGCATTATGGGCCTCTAGGAAAACCAATGGGCTGGGGCCCTACGATCACACTATATATAAATAGTCGATGATAGTACATCCGGGCAGATGTCTAACGGGTCCATGTGTTAAGACGGCACTTGAACTTGAATAACCGATGACCACGTTCAACCAGGGCCAGAGAGGGTTGCTCTCCGCCCATTTTGGTTATATTGTGGTAAAGTATAAGCTTGTCATTTCATTGTGTTTTGCTATCAGTCGTGTTCTGTGCCGCATGCCTTACTGGTCTTACGCTGGTGGATTTGTCATTAGGGCGTTTTCAATTGACTGTCTTCTGCTGTTTTATCGTGGCTGGGTGGGTATTCGCTGTTTGAACAGTGTTGTGTGGAGGAGGCACATAAGGAGAGGGAATAAGAATGAAGGAAGAAATTATTGCAGAAAGAATGAGAGTCTGAGAAGAAACAGGTTAAACACAAATGTTGACAACAACGATCCTGAAATCCCATGCTAAAACTGTGGAAGACTTGTCCTAATTCGGACGGATCTTGCTAGTCACACTCGTCATCGTCATGGGCCACCTCATAGCACAATATAACACTATCTTTTGGAAAGACGAAACGGTGCCAATCGATATGATACAGTAGTTTCAGTATTTTCTTCTTTTCTACGATATTCTGAAAGTTTCAACTACCTAGATATTTGTATATTATCACTTGTCAATTCCAAATGTGACTGCATCCTATTCAGGTGGAGACAATCGGAGATGCATACATGCTGGCTAGTGGGCTTCCTAAAAGAAATGGCTGTCAGCACACAAAAGAGATAGCGAATGCTGCACTAGACATACTGGCTTCTATACGGAGCTTTACCATCCCTCACCTTCCAGGAAAGAAATTGAAAATACGGTATGTGGTGTGTTCTATTCAGTTAGTTCTACGGTATACTCTATGATTATAAAATCTTAGTTTGGATGGTAGATCAATAGGGAAAATCCAAGATAACAAATTTAACGACCATAGAAGCGGTTATTAGGGCACATATAACCTGCTTTGCTGTGCGAAGAAGGAGATTTTGTATGCTTTTATATTTACTAACATTTCCTGCAAGTAAACCTTGTTTACCAACAAAGTCTTTGTTTGTTTGATAAATTTTTTTTGAGTGTCGAGAGAGATAAGAGGTGCTGTTTCTTGCTTGTCTGGCTGCCTTGGCCATATAAGTCGTGCTGGTGTAGAAATATCTTTCCCTCTTGTTACTGGTCTAGCCTGTGATCGACCTCCTCCTCTTGTAGTGTATGCCAGCAACTCCATGTGGAGCCCAAAGAACACGGTGAAGCACGTAGAACACTCTGGTCATTCACTGCACCTGACTTCAACTACTGGCGTCTCGACTTGTCCCGCCACTGGATTTAGATAGATACAGGCGAGAGAGTGAGGTCGACGAAATTGCCTAACTCTTCCTCACGTTAATAAAATTTATCCTGCTTGTCACTTTTTCATACATTTCATCCAAGCCACGAACGAACGATGTCTTGTATGGTACGTTGTCGTAAAGTATTATAAGTGAGCAAGTGTTTCATTTGCTGTCTTTTTACGTAATTTTGAATTGGTTATGTCCCAAACTTGTATTTTCTCTCTGATTGTATATATTACATACACTCCTTCAGCTCTTCTAAAACATCTCGTTTACACGCTTACTAATTTTCTTCAGTCATTTTACTTAATTGGACGTCATGGTGGCTATATGGTTAAACCGTTTTCCACACGTTCTGAAAGTCTTAAGTTCTTTTTTACAGACCGTGTCGTTTGGTCCGTCCTTAGGTGCAATTCTCAAGGAGACCCCTGGGGACAGTAACTAGAGTTACCGATATTGTTATTTGTGCCACCCTCTCGAAGGGCGGCTAGCAGTCTTGTTAAGAGAAACCTGGTCATTTAGAATAAAATTCGAAAGACTAAACGAACAGACTGAATTTCCAACGGGTTAAGAATTGGACCCGCAGGTCCGTTTAATATTTTGTCATTCCGTTTTCTCGCAATGCTTACTGTTATTCATTCATACGTTGTTTCTTGGGTAATAAATAACACGTTCAACGACATTTAAGTACTGATTTCAAGCATTGATAAGAAGAAACTCCATAGGGAAGCATGTACAACAGGAGTCTACCAATTATCAGTAGAAGTAATGTCTCGTCGACAAATGTTTCGGCCCACGAGCTCCTAGAAATTGTCAGAGAGTGGGCCCACCTGAGTTCATGAGGCTCTGGGTTGATCTGCTCCTGCTGCACGTACTAACGGATGTTCTCGGACAAGACAAGACGAAATTGGTGACTTTGCAAAAGGTACTTAGAGATACGAAGTGTATTTACATAGACGTTGCGGTAGCATAATTAGAGCAGTCAGCTTACCTGGACGACCAAGTGGCAAGCTTACGGTTGGTTTATCGGACACATGTTAGACTTTGTTGGCAGATGGCAGAGGAACACTGTCAGACAATTCGGACACGACGGATTTTAAGGAATAAGATTTTCTTTTCCACTAGACACCCGGATCAGCTCACCGAGGCCCATCCCCCACGACGTTCCTTTGTGTGCAGGGCCAGCTCGAGGCCCTCTCAGTAGCCTCGCCCAGTTGTTTTAATGCTCGTTGACCTCATTTCCTCGCCAGCCTAGTTGTTTAATCACATTGTACACATAAAGTAGAAAAGAAACCTCTTGCGCCTACCTCGACAGCGAAGATTCTTACTGAGTACTAAATATACTCTATTTATATTTTACTAACTTTTGTTGTTGTCGTCGTTGGTATAGCGGAAGACCTCATGCTTGATGTACAAAGAGCTCATTTTTGGCTTACTTTCTGTTTATCTCTCTCTCTCATCCTCCCCCCCCCCTCTTTCCCCGCCATTTAAGGGGAAATGCCTGTACGAATAAAATCTCAATGATGAGAATAAAACATGTACAAATCCCAGAAACCCCCTTGGCCGTTAGGTCATGAAGAATAGTTATATTAGGGCACCATGAAATAGTCACAAAATTAACCTGTGGTCCACTGTGGACTTAAGTCGTTTGTTCTTGACTGACCGACTGATGTTCAACCCCAGCACGAGCCGTAAACACTAGGTGGCAAGTGCCACCATTCGGATAAGAATCACCCGGCTGCAAGTCAGAGATACCCTGTTGAACGGGTAGGTTATATTTAGGGTCCCTGACAAGAGCTGGGGTGGGGTTTTTAAACAACAACAAGATTGCCTGTCATACTGGGGCTGGTTTGTTCGTGACTGACTGATGTTCTACCCCACCAGGACATCACACAGAGCGATAAACTACCGGTGACACAAAGTGCGACCATTTGGATGAGGATCCCATGGGAACAGGTCTCAGAAACCCAGTTCAACCCATAGGTTATGTTATTTTAAGGCCACAGGCAAAATTGTGACCCGTATCGAGACGAAATATTTTTAAAAAAATTAGTTCGTGACTTACTGTCTACCCCACTAGGACATCACACAAGCGATAAACACCCGATGACACAAAGTGCCACCATGTGGATGAGGATCGCCGTGAAGAGTCCCAGAAACCGCGTTCAGACAATTGGCCATATTTATGGCCTGCCTATATTGCGACCCCTGTCAAAATCCAGGGTGGAGCATCAAATAACAAAAAATTTCGCCCTAAAAAGGACAGACACATAATAAATAAAAGATTTCGTTCGTGACATATTTGTTCTTTCATATCAGAGAATTGCCTCTTAGTCAACTAAGAACTGATGTTTGATATAGAAGGAATGGATTTTTGACCGGCAAATAGCGATTTTTGGCTTACAAAGAGTTTATTGTTGGTATTCAAAGAAAATTTGATTGTTAGCAAAATAATAATTTCACGCTTGGTCTACAAAGAGTTGATTACGTGTTTCAGGATTGGTATCCACACTGGCTCAGTTGTAGCAGGAGTTGTTGGCCTTGTGATGCCCAGGTATTGTCTCTTTGGGGACACTGTCAACACAGCATCCAGAATGGAATCTTCTGGCCTGCGTAAGTATTTCAGGTTTTTGACGCGATGGAGATTTGTTACACTTACAACTAATTCAAGTGGCCTAGGCTTTGCGAGCCCGACTCGTAATTCCAAAGTACCGCGATTGAAACCCACTGCTGGCTGCGTGGATTGTTATCATGGTATGGGGCGTCGCAGGTCGACCCAGCTAAAAATTGATACCAGGATGTATGTACTGGGGAAGTAAAAACAGCCGGCGTAATACTGACCACCTTACCCACTTATTGCCGATTGGTCTGTACAAATATGGGTACTCTTCTCATCTGCCTGTTGCGTCTAAAGGCGTCAAAAGAGATCTTTACTTTACTTACTTTACTACGAATACAAAGTGTTGCCTTTGTTATCAGCGAAGAGTCCAGGTGTTTTA